TGTGTGTATATATATATATTAAATCTACACCAGGCAAGTTAAGAGTGGCCAGCTCAGAAATTAGAATAGGACAGGACCTGAGGCCCCAAGAAAAGCTGCAATGGCAATAAAGTGAGCCTTCTCCTTTAAACTATTGTTTGCTCAGCTGATTCAACTAACCGACAAATGTGTTGCTAAACCTAAGAAAATAAACTTTAATCCCTTAAAGAAAAAAAAAAACCAACTAGGGCCCGCTGAAAGGCCAACGATCCACTCTCCCGTTTCCCTCTCAATGCCTGTCTCTTTGCGTAATGGGGCATTTGGCGCCAAAGCTGCAGAGAAGACAACTGAGTCCCGCCCTCACTCCTTCCTATGCAGCGGGAACGAGTGGAAGGTTAAGGTTTCCACCCTTTCCACACAAAGGACTGCCTTCCATCCCCACGCAGCCTCCCGGTCCCACTCTCGAACCCTTCGATCCCCCCCCCCCCCCCCCGCCCCAAATCGGCGAGACGAACCGCTCGCCTCTCACCACGAAGACTCACCGCTTCGTCACCGGGCTCCCGAAATATCTTCCGCGCCGTCTTGGCCGCCAGGACTCGGGTGGCGTTGAACGAGGGGGGCTACGAAGGCGGAAAAAAAAAAGAGACGGGAAACGAGGTCAGGGTGGATTTTAAAGGCGGGTAAAGCCAGAAAGGGGCCCGGACGCCCTTACGAGGGAGCGCTTTTTTTCCGCGCGAGCCCTCCGGTGCGGACTTCCACGACTCTTCCCCAGCTGAGAAAAAGGCCAGGCCTTCGGGAAGGCTCGCTCGAGGTCAGCGGTAACTCGGCGCCCTTCCCATTGGGGGGGGGGATTTCAGTTCCCGTCATTCCAGTTTTAAGAACCGCCAAAAAAGCAAAGACGGCGGGAGTTGCAGTTCGATACATTTAAAAAGGCATCGCATGAACGATCCGGCGCAGGAATTTTGAATCCCTGGTGAATATTTATCCCGAGAAATCGCTCCCACAAATAATTGGAAGCGAATCGAGCAAAATGCCGCGGCTGCCTAACAAAAGGCGTCTCCGGGGAGCCACACTAATCTCCCAAATTATGGGCTCAGAAAAGCTGCCTTCTTCTTCCCCCCCCCCCAACCCCCCATGTTCCTCAGTTTGTGTTGCAAATATAATCTGCACCGTCTCCCGCTAGAGCTGTGTGAGTAAAGTTTCTCAAGAAAACTAAGACAACTTTTCCGACTCCTTTTCCCCACCTCTGGACCTCCGGATTCTCCCCCTCCCCCAATACAAAGGGGTTCTTTTGCTTCCCTGCCCTAAAAGGTTCACTCTCCAGGAGATTAACCATTCCTGTCCCCTTTTAGCCTCACCGTGTTCTCCTTGTCGTTCAAAGGCACCTTCTTCTTGGGCGAGAACTGGGGCTGCTGCTCATTCCGAAGGGAGAGAGGGTTGCGAGTAGAGATCATCGTTCGGCTTGAGAGAGAGTGAGAGAGAGGCAGGGAAACAGCTAACCGGAGAAAAGCGAGAGGGAGCCCGCTCGCCGCTTTATATGAGTTTCGAACTTGGCGCCAGAACACTGGATCGCCCAATCGCAAAGCGATTGGAAGCTCTCTCTGTGGTTTGCAATTGGCTGAGCGACGCACCCCATTGTACCCCAAACGCGGGAATCTGAAGCAAATGCCTGCCTCTTCTTCTGAGTGTGTATTGGATTAGCACGCGAAGCAACGCGAGATTGCTGAATGCGGGAAGGAGTAATAATAACTCAAATATGCTTTAAAAAAAAAAAAAAAACTGCAACTGGACTTTCTTGATTTAAAAAAAAAAACACTTTGGGACAACTACGACCCGGATTAAGAATCTCCATAAATGAATGGCAATGTTTTAATGCGATTTTATTGGTTATAGAGGCGAATTCTTCAAAACCGTGTCAAGAATGTCCTCAACCTTCTCACAATGTTTATAATTGGGAAAAAAGAGAATGACGTGACAATTCCCCCTCTATATGCTCTAAGAATTTATACAGTGAAAGAAAGGGAGTACTAAAGTATACTTTTCAAATGTAGTTTTTTCCAAGCACTGCAATTAAACCTATTGTCATTAGTGTTAGATAAGTAGCGATAGGTTTGCTGCTAGATTTAGATTGGGTAAAGCTATTTTTGATAAACCATTGCAATACCTTAATTCCCACTCCCAGCCCATTTTGCCAGTCCAGATGGATGCCATGATTGAGGCTGCAAGATTATGGAGAGTCAGGATCAAGGGTGAAATCCAGCAGGTTCTGGAGAACCGGTAGTGGAAATTTTGAGCAGTTCAGAGAACTGGCAAATACCACCTCTGGCTGGCCCCAGAGGGATGGAAATGGAGATTTTGCAATATCCTTCCCCCAGGAGTGGGGAAGGAATGGAGATTTTGCTGTATCCTTGCCCTGGAGTGGGGTGGGAACGGAGATTTTGCAATATCCTTCCCCTGCCATGCCCACCAAGCCACGTCCATAGAACTGGTAGTAGAAAAATTTGGATTTCACCACTGGTCAGGATTAATGCATCACCCTATCCTAAGTTTTGCCAGAGAACATCCACAAGTATAATCATTGCCATAAAGGAAAGGTTGGAGAGGATGACAATTACCCAGTACTGTTGGATCCAAGCAATGGCTTCTTGAGTAAAAGGTATATTAGTATCTCCTATCAGACCCTCCATCGGATATCAATTCTTACTGCTTGGACCCAACCATATGTCTTTTAGCAAGCCACGAGCAACCAGGAAGGACATTGTTCTAATATATAGGTGGCTGCCCTTAGAGCCCTGAGGACTCTGTCCACTTCCTTTGAATCAAGAGATTCAATCTCCTTCCAAATAATCTAGCCAGACCTGCATCTGTCAACTTCATAGAACTTGCACAGTTGGAATCCAGCCTGGATGAATTGGAACAACTTTATTCAACTTATGCCTTGAATAGTCCTCACCATGGCCCTACTGATACTTCTCTGGCCTTTTCCAACCCAAGATGGACTGTGTCACCTGAAACATGGCTACCATTTGGCAATCTGTGAATGCAGTAGGGGTGGGAAAATAAATATGTTTTACCATTTTTTGTCACCAAGAGGTAATTCTTATCATAGGCATTTACATGTGTTCAACCCTATTTGCCTTTCATTCTTCTTCAGAGGTGCTCATTTCTTCTCCAAGAATTCCTTTGAAAACCAGGGATTCCTTGGGATTTATGCAGTCTTGGATGAGGCATCTTTGATAGACATGGAGAAGGGTTTGCCATAGGGTCCAGAAAAAGTGCACTGAATTGTAATATTACCTTCTACATGACATATACAATCTCTTTTCTTTGTCACTGCAATGATGTTTGCTGAAGTTATTGATTAAAACCAGTTTGGTCTTGTTAAGGCACCAGGCTAGAGAGCGGGAGACCGTGAGTTCAAGTTCCACCTTAGCTATGAAAGTCAATTGGGTGATTTGGGGCCAGTCACTCACTCTCAGTCCAACCCACCTAAAAAGGTTGTTGTGGGAAAAATAGGAGGAGGAAGATGTGTTGGATATGTTTCACTGCCTTGGGTTTATTTGTAAAAATAACAAAGACAGGATACAAATAAAGATTAGGATGGGGAAATGGTATGTGCAGTGACATAAAATCACCAAAGGTGGCAGTAAAAGACTGTTAAACATGCAATTTTTCATGATTGCAATGATTCACTCTCTTCAACTAAAGTTACATAATGTGTAAGTAGAAATGTTTAATTGCCTCTCTGTCTTTTTGTTTTTCAAAAGCCAAAAACTTTCTCTTTGGCAATTGTATTGGAAAAGAAGCAGAGCAGTTATTTTGTAAAACTTCCTTTCTTAGGCCATTATCCCTTAGAATTATGCGGTTGGGAAGGTATTTATTTGTAACACCACCCCGTCCTTCTAACAGCCTGTCCTTTGAGGAGATCAATTGTCACAGTGATGGCTAGATAACCAGAGAAGTTTAGAAACTAATTTCTAAACTAAATTGCTAGTTTAGAAATGATTGTAGAACCTGGAATGAACATGCCTTTATTCTAATCCTGATGCCAAAGTCTAGCACAGTATATGCCTACATATTTGGAATTGACTATCATTAAGTTCAGTGAGAATTTTGAATAAACTTTGATAGGAATGTAGTGCAAGAGCCAACCAGATTTCTAAACTAAGAAGTGATTTTTGTCCTGTCTACCATCTAGACTTTTTTGACTTTCTTATCGACAGTTGGCTTGTTCTGTGGCAGGTGCCTGCCTGTTTGAATTCTATAGTCCCAGAACACTTTAGTTCTTCATTTTTTATGTCTTTATTTTATGGTCGCACCAGTTTATACTTGCAGGCAATTGGTATTTCTTGCAGATCTTGCAATGCACCCGTGTTGCTACTTTGTCATGCCATTGTTTGTAGTCAGTTTGTGCAATCTTCTTTAGTTAGGCTGTTTACTGTTAGCTTGTGTGGCAGTTCCTTAATTGGGGTATTGTTTACTTCTTAACTGTTGGTGTGATATTAATCTTGCTGTTAATCTATGCTCATCTGAGAGCTGATTACTGATGGGGAGCTGTTTTTGGTCTTTTTCTCCCCTTTTTGGCTTCTTGATTGAATTTTTTGGGCTTCTTGATTATAGATTTTTTTTCCCAAAAATTTGAAGTCTCAGTAAAACAAAAGCTTGGGAAAAAAAATCAGATATTTTTTTTCTTAATTTCTTTTGGGGGGGCAGATTCCTATGTAAGTATCCCATGAAATAACAGCCTCTCAATATGATTATTTCACATTGGTCCAATAGAAATGGCATCTCATCTTTGTCTATTTTGGTTAAACGTTTTTGAATAAATATACTGGGAGAAAATGTCTTCTACTTTCACCTCCATTTCATCCAGCTGGCATTGCTTCAGCCTCTCCGTGGCATCATTGGTCAACTCGGCAAGAACTAGCCCAAAAAAATATCAGAATAACTAGTACTCGTAAAATTAAACTTAACATGAAATCTATCATTTTCATTTTTAAAATGAAAATAATTAAAATATATAAAGTTAAAGTAATACTTTCTTCAGTTTATTGGAGCATGATCTTCATTTCATTGGTATGCTTCACAATGCCTGCCATTTTGCTGGCAAGTCTTTGATTTTCCCTAAAATACAGAAATTATAAGAAGCCTACATCAATCATAGAATAGAAATAAGCAGACAAAAAGAGGAGCTTAAAACAAGATTGTAAGGAAAATGAATTACTTACATCTGTTATCCTGGCATTTTTTTTCTGCCAGCTCCACTTGATGATGCCTTGCCATCATTTCATCCATGTACTCTCTCTCTTTTCTTTGCCTCTCTCTATATTTCTAGAGACAGATCTGGCAAAAGAAGACATTTTGAACACCTGAAGGCAAACTAACTGGAGGAGGCGAATTTACTAAGTAAATCATAGTATGATATTGTCTCAAGACTCGTGCTATTAAAGAAAAAACTACAAGATCCAAAAAGCTGTCCTGTCTTCCCTTAATCCTTCTCTAAGATACACATACCCAACTGATAAGGCTTCTTCATAGAATTTTGTCAGAGACAGATAATGATGGAGAGAGCTTTATTTCTGGCTGGAGTCATAGCCAGTTGCAATGCGCTTTGGCTGCATTCTGACCATTTGTTCTAAAGCACTTTGCAGTAGTTCTGGCAAAAGGCTTGGACTATAATGCCTTATTTTGAAAAGCAAGGTAACTACACTAATCTATTATTAATCTTAACACTGTAACATTTTATATTCTAATTTTCAATGGAATTTATACATTTATTCTCCCAAAAAAATATTAATAGTTGTAGTTAGGATAAAGAATGGTGATTTTAGATTGTTAGCAGCAACATTAAACAGGCTGATTAGAAATGAAGCTGCTGGGAATAATAATTTTGCTGTCCTTCCCTTTTTTTGTAAAAACCGGTAAGGAATAAAAATTTAATCCTCTAGCCTAGATAGATTTTTAAAAACAATATTAATCTTGCATATAATCTATATAATTCTTCTAAGAAACTTTAATATATCAAAACTGATCTGGAACAAATGATTAAAATCGTATTTGAATTCTAAATATAAATTTCTGGAAATATTGCTTGGAAATAATTAGCACACGTCAACAAAAACCACTTGGATATACATTAGTGAAAAAGATTAATGTTTACCAGCTCTGCCTCTGCAGCTAGCAGTGCATAATAGAGTATTTTCTGTAAAATTAAATCAGGCTGATATAGGAACTAAAACTGAATTTGCTTTATTTATTTATTTATTTATTAATAAAAAATATTTATTTATTTGTTCATTTATGCATAGAGCATGTCTGTGTTGCAGTCGGTATAAATCAACTAGTTCATCCTCATGTTGCTTTAACCATACATGAAGGTCCTCACTAACCATTGTTAAGTAACAATCCTATGACTTGCCTCTAGCCAGCTGCAGGTACAGCTGAAGCTTCTATTCATCTTTCTTCTGATATGTTTCTGGGTTGATTATCATAGAAGATATTGCTACATGTACTGTTTTGGTTCTACTGTTTGTAGTGACATTAAATTGAGAGGGTTTTTTTGGGGGGGGGAGGAGAGAAACAACATTGGATCCAATGTCAGCTTCTTCATTTAGAACCTAACAGTCCCCATATATTAGGTCAGGATTTTACACCTGCCTGGCACCTCCCAGGGAAATACAATTGATTATCATCAGTATATTTGTGACACAGAACCTTCTCCAGTGCTACAAAAAAGGGACAGGGAATAGCCTAACGACAATATTCACTAATTATTTATTCGACTGGAAGTGTCACAGCGAGACAGTCGGGAAATAGCGGGCTCTGATGAGCCTTGTGAAATCCCGGGCTAACAAACCTCTGTCGAGGGGTCTTCGGATCTGACCTGTCCTGTAGGGCAGAGAAGAAGGAGAGGCACCTCGGATGACCAAGAGAAATTGGCAAGTTCCTCGGAGGTTGGAGAAAACTCTTCGACTCGACAGTGGGGGCGGCAGCCATTGCGGCGGCCATAAAGCTAGGGCAATAAGACCACGTTCTGAGCAGGAGAGGTGATTTGGACGGGTATTGATGCCGAGTGAGTGTTTGCCAGCTCACAGGTAAAACAAAGAAATATTTTTAAATTGTTAAAAGGTGCCCCAATGAAGAAACAGCAGCTAATGGGTGTGGGGGAATGTGAATGTAGGAAGAAGAACAAGACCGAAACAGAATTTGACTTTTGGATTACAATGTGTGGAGATAATTAAAATATTAGAAGAAAAAACCCATAATAGATATGGAGAGGATTGGAAAAAACTTTAAAATTCTTTTTTGACCATTGAAGGAAGAATAAAGAAATATAAAATTAAAGCCCTGTAACAGAAGTTTTTTTTAAAAAAAAATGGGTTTGGAACTGGATTTTAAATTAGACTTTGGGGAATATAAAATTGAAAAGAAAAAGATTGAAATTGGCAAATATTGGTAATGTGGATTTAATAAATAAAATGGATACTTTCTGTTGATTGGAATTGTGGATTGGAGAGAGACACCTACAGGCGGAAAAACATACTACAACGCTTAATTTTTATTTTGAAAAGAAAACTCTAAAGTGATAAGAGCGGTGGGAACTTTTGAGGAGGTTTTATTTGCTTGCAAGCTGTGTGACCTCGACAACCAAAGAATGTGGATTATAATAACTTAAAATTGGAATAACGGCAACGTGGAAATAACAAAATGGTGCAGGAACTAATTGAAATGATTAAAAAGATGTGTATATCATTCAAAGCTGAATTAAATGAAATAATTATAATAATGCATGGAAAACCCAAACCTGATGAATGAATTGCGTTAGAACATACCCAAATGGATAAAGAAACTATGAATGAGAGGCAAGAAAGTGACACTGAAGATAAAGACAAAGATATTGATTATGAAAAATCAAATGATTATGTGGGGAGTAACAATGAAAAAAGAGGAGAACTGGGAGAAAAGGGATAAATTTAGGAATAAAGGTGAACTTTAAAGATTAACATTGGGATTAACAATGACAAAAATAGAGAAGGTGGAAAGAGACAAGGAGAGAAAGGGGGGAAGAGAAAAAATAGAAAAAACTCAAAAGATTACACTGGGATTAACAGTGGGGAAATAAGAAAGATGAAAAGGGGAAGCAGGAGAGCAGATGGAAATACAGGGCAAGCTAGGAGAGTAAAGGACTTTAAAATTAGCGGGGGGAAGAGAAAATAAGAAAATGGGATAAAGGAAGATAGGAGTAGCTGATATATTTAGAACTATAAATGAATTGAAGTAGGATCTATATAAATGAATTTTAGTAAATTCAATATATGAGATGGTAATACTTGGAATGTTTTTAATTGTAATAATGGAATTTAGTTAAAGCATCTGAAATTATAGTGTATTGTGAAAAGGGATCAATGGATTATTAAATAAGAGGAGAGGGAAAAGTTGAAAATTAACTTTGTTTAAATTATATATAAAGTAAGGGGAAATTATTTAGAATTATAAATGAATTGAAGGTACATGAAACTGTAATACTTGGAATGTTTTTAATTGTAATTATGGAATTCAGCTAAAGCTTTTGAAATTGTATTGTGAAGATTAATTTTGTTTATAGCATAACAAGAAAAGATTAAGATACTATTGGCAATAATGAAAATTAACTTTTAAAATTATGATTATGTTTATTATGAAGAGGTGTAGACAATATATATATTTGAAAAAGCAATGGAAAGTGGGTTTATTTTTAAAAAACAATAGGAATTGAGAAATAGAAATGAATGATTTTAATGTTATAGACTTGTGAATTGTAGTAAGATATTTGATTGTAATATTTGAATAAATTGATAAAGGAAAATGGAAAAGAGGGAAGGAAATAGATTATGAATATTAATATCTGTGATTGGAACAATGGAATTTAAGGAAAACACTTGAAATTATATTATGTTGTGAAAAAGGAGTATTGGGAAAATATTTGAATAGGATGATTTAGAGTTAGGGTTAAGTATTAGAAAAATTATTGAATTTAAATCAAAGGGTTTTAACATGGAGAGCAATTGGAGGAGGAAAAAAAGAAAACTTGACTAAGATTAGAGATTAGGGTGAATGGTAATATTGGCTATATATCAGAAAAACAAGGAAAAGAAAAAAATTAGAGAGAAAGAATATTATGGCAAAAATGAAATACATAAATTGTGTTGGGAGGTAACTAAAAACTGTACAAATTTGGGACTCGCCCAATACTCTGTTCAGAAAAATGCATTGTGTTTCTTTGTGTATGTTTGTTAAAAAATAAAAAAACCTTTATAAAAAAAATATATTCACTAATTATTGTCTGTTGGGTACTTCATTCTATGGCACTTAACCAGGACTAACAGCCAATGCAGTTTAGTATGAAAATAGAATACACACTATGTGTTTATTTATTGATCATATTTAAGAATTGCCTATCTCCCTCACAGATGGACTCTAGATGCTGTACAAATGAAATATTGAAAACATGAGCACCTTATACAACATTTAAAAGAGGTAAGTGATGTTACAAATTAATTAGAAAGAGGGATTTGAGGGCTCTAACCTGCAGAGTCATGTTTCCCGACCTTTCAGGAAGGTTGTCTTGTAGATATATTTAAATTGAAGATATTAACACAATTCACCAAGAAAGAGCCTGGAAGAAGATGTACAGATATTTTTGAAATATTCAAATTAAAATGTTTTTCTAAAAATTATTCTGAAGCAATTTTTGCTTGTTCCTAGATTCCTTTGATTCATGTTTTATTTCATTTTGATTATTTATGTCATGTTACCAGTCATGCTACTTCTTTGAATCCTAAAGTAATCCTAGAGTTTCACATGCAAGTTGACAAGTAAATAAATCAATAAAACAGGATCTCTTACCTCAAACAGAAGTTTTCCCGCATAATACAGGAATGTCTCCATCATTACGTCAATGTCCTGAAGTGAAGTAAACTAAACTACTGTAAGCTAAACTAAACAAATATATTAAATATAATAGTGTGTGTAAACTATTTAGCTATTTTTCAAAATTGGTAGAAACTTAAGTACAAAATCCTGCTGATGTGTTTGGTAGAATCAGAGGATGAGCTAACAAGAAGACTGTCATAGAAAAAATAGAGAAATGCACACAATTTACATTGAAAAAGTGGTGCAGAGGTGACTGAGCAGAATTGGAGAAGTATCTGTGCTTGGCAGAGTAAATTACAGTATGGTTTTTGCTCCACCACACTGTACTTGCCCATTTCTCTTGAAAGAACTGCAAGATGGCTTCAGATGTATATTTAGTGGTCACAGGACATGTGCCTTCTCAGTTCTGGTGCCCACACTAACAGAATGTTCTTCCCAAAATTAAGTTGGTCCCGTCCCTTTTGATTATTGAAAAAGCCCTTAAGAGCGTATTAGGTGACCTGGACTGAGTCTGATGGCATGTGCAGCTGAAGGAGCAATGGGGCAGAGTTTGGGCAGCACAGAGCTTTCCCAGAAAGAGACCTGGATCAAGAGACTTCACAGCCCCGAGATGGATGGGGGAGCAAGGAAGAGGTTCAGAGTAGGGTAGTCGCACACCAGACTCTCCCAGGGTATATCTCGTAGTTAGAAAATTACAGCTCAAGTTTGGCAGGATTCTATCCATTAAATGTAGCAAATAAAAGATTGAACTCAGTAGGATTTCTCTGTATCATTTCTGGGCTTGGGCCTGACACTGGGTTCCTTCAGAGCCATAGACCTATCTAGATGGCTCCATTATTGAGGCAGAGGGACATTTTTATTTCCTTCAACTCATTCTCTGTCATCCCCTTCTTCTTTTGTCCTCAATCTTTCCCAGCATTAGGGTCTTCTCCAGTGAGGAAGCTATTTAAACTTGATAAGTAAGTGGGTAAGTAAATAAATAGTTTATCTCACTTGAAAGCCCCATATCTTAGGAATTTTTGCTTTCCTTTTCCCTTTCCACTCTTTTTTGAACTAATTACAGTAAGCCTGAGCCTTGCTTTTTTTCTTTGATTTTGCTTTTTTTCTTGTTTTTGCTGTTGACCTTGAATAGCTCAGGAACATATACTCTAAATATTAAGTCTGCTAATTATCAACTGGTAACACCTGGATTAGGGTATTGTTTTCTATTTGAATGTTTGTCAACCAAGGGCATATGGTTGATAAATGCTACTAATTTGAAACTGCTCTCCTATAAAAAGGGTTTCCTTCAGGAAAAAACCCCACTACATAATTCCTCTCATTTATAAACCCCTGCCAGGGAATAAATAGGAGTCTCAAAAAGGAACAATACGTGTCCTCTTTCAATGTTGTGGATCAGCAAAGAACTGTGGCATGGGTCATGATACGTAACCGCATGATATCCCTGAAGTCAAGCAGCCCCCATGGACCACTGCCAGTGGCTCAATGGAGATCAGTCTGGATGGTGTCCCTCAAAAGATGTCAGAGAAGTCTGTCATGCCCAACTGCAAGTGGGCATAAAAAGGGACAATACAAGTCCTCTTTCGATATAAACAGATAAAGCAAATAAACCCCCAATTCTCTTCAACAGCTCTCAGACAGAGTATTAACAGCCAGTGACCGCAAAAAATATAATCCTTCCATCCTCCCCTGTCAGAACCTGACCATCCTATCAGAACCTATCTTTCCATCCCCCCTCCCTCCAATCTCAACTGTCAGTATTTCTCCTTCCATCCCCCCTCCCTCCAGTCTCAACTGTCAGTATTTCTCCTTCCATCCCCCTCCCTCCAATCTCAACTGTCAGTATTTCTCCTTCCATCCCCCCACCATCCTGTCTCAACTGTCAGAACCTGTCCTTCCATTCCTCCCCCCCACCATCACAACTGATGAAGCTTCCTGGATAAGAAGCGAAATGTTTTCTTCTTCCTCCTCAAGGAAAAACAATCCAGTTGCCTCTTTTGAAGAAAAAAAAGCAGCTTTGAGACAACTATGACACCTGGACTCTTGAGACCTGGATGACTGAGAATCTCCACAGACATTTAGCCATACATGTTGGGATGAACGCCCTTCAAATGGTGCAGGATATGAACGGATTTCCAGAAAACGTGCAGACTACAGGAACCATTTGCGCTTCAATTTGAGATGCAGACATACAGCCTCAATCCCATCAGCCTGCACCTGTGTTCAACAGTGAAAGGATATGGGACCGAAAACTTAATACAGAAAGCACAGCTCCAACTTCTCAATAAAAGAATAAGACAGATTAATTTTACAATTGAGGTTTTGAAAGAGAGTGGAACACAAACTTCAAGAGCTGAAATCACTTCTTTCAACAGAAGTATTGGCGAAGGTCACAGAATTTAGGAAGAAGGCACAACTCTAGCACAACATAACAAGGGCAAAGACAGACAGAAAGGCAAATGTTCCATCCTACAGTTTAGACAAGGGCACAAAACAGAAGAATCAATCCAGATGAGGGAATGACATAACTCAGAGAACTGACCGACAGGTGAGAGGTCCGTCTGACAGAGAACTTACGCAAACAGAAAAGAATGTTTTATCCAAAAGACTGAATTTTGCAGTAACACCAGAACAGCTACCAAATGTAGAACTCTTCACAGCCACAGAGTCAGCCATCAGGAACAATAAATTGGCAGAACCAGGGCAGAACAGTTATGAAGGTATCTGACAACCCTCGCCAATGCCAAAACACTGCCCTCCAACCTCACAATTCAAGAAAGGAAAGCAGTGAAAACCCTAAGAAGAGACCCAAACATCACTGTTGCAGACGTAGGCGCACCACTACAACAGTCACCATCTTGGCAGCTGATAAAGGAAGATGCACGGTTATCCTGAACACAGATGACTGCAATGTCAAGATGAACACTTTTCTGAAGGACACTGCTACATATGAGACTCTGAAGAGAGATCCTATCAGCAGTTATAAGAAAAAGATCATCAATTTCCTGCAACAACTACTGAAGGACAATGTCGTTTACCCCGGGGAAGCCACTCGATGCCTATATGGACTCCACAAAACCCACAGAGGGAACTCTACTCAAGTCAATTGTCAATTCTTGTCACCTACAATATTGCAAAATATTGAACCACCTTATTAGCTCTTCTGGTTGGCAACACCACCGTTCACATTAACAATTCACAGGACTTTGTCAGCATGGTTTGGAAACTAAAATTGGATCTGGATGAAACTATGGTTTCTTATGATGTGACTTCATTCTTCATCTGCATTCCAACAATTGAAGCAGGGTGGGTTCATGCAACATTCCAGACCAGGGGTGTCAAACTCAAGGCCCATGGGCCGCATCTGGCCCGCAGGGCTGGGCTGGAAATATCAAAGGAACGGCCCACAGTGCCTCTGCTGGCCAAAATGGGCCATGAGGGGTCATGCAAGCCCCTCCCGTGGCCCGTTTTCAGCCATCAGAGTGTTGCAGAAGGCCATAGAGGCAGAAAACAGGCAGCAGGGGGTGCGCATGGCCCCCCTGCACCCCATTTTGGTTGGCAGGGTCATTGAGAATTGGGTGGTATATCAATTTTGTAAATTATTACTAATATTAAGTCCTCCTCTAGGACTGTGTCAGAGATAGTAACAAAGATAGATAGACTGTTATACAGACAGTATTTAGAGACATCTGGAGAAATTGTCAGTTCATTTATGCTCTGCTTCTATACAAGAGAATTAAGCCCCATAGCAGCTGGGGACTGTACATGTCTTTAATCTCTAAATTATGGAATTGAGACCATTTGTGCCAGAAAGTAAATCTCCCTTTGTCTGGAATAGCTGTTTTAAAAGCAAAGGGGAAAAATGCATCTTGAGCCTGTGTCAAACTCCCACCATGGTCACAACCACAACCACCTCTGGCCCCATCCTGCCCCATTCCCTGGCCCTCCGAGGTCAAACACAACCCTGATGCGGTCCTCAATGAAATTGAGCTTGACACCCCTGTTCTAGAGTAATGTTTATTAACTGGCTTGTTTAGCTGGTAGTTCATACCCCTCAATAGGTGTATGCAATAGGTGTAGAAAACATTAGGGATCCTAATTGGAAAATTGCAGGACATCAGCATTGACACAGAATGCATTTTAGAGGCTCCATGACAACCACAGAGTTGTCTCAGTATGTTGGCAGACCAGTACATTTTGGAGGATGTATATTTGAGCTAGTGAATAGGAGCTGGAAGATCCAGAATTGGAGATATTGAATTTTATGGCATGTATTTATTAAATCCATTGGTATGCAGCTGCATTCAAAAGCAACTCTTGGAAATTTACATTTTGTAGAACTGTTCAACTTGGCAGGTTTACAGATGTGGGTTGCACAGGAAATGTTTTTAAAAGGGTCAAGATGCCTTCAAATCAAGCTTGACACCTGATGTTTGCATCCTTCTCGTCAGTGTTAGAGACGCTTGCTATTGTCTTTCTCCCTTCCCATTCTAGCCAATACCCTTGAACTCACCGAGTTTCCCATCCAAATCTCCCTACTTAGTTATCAGCATTGGCAAGGTCACCTAGATATTGACACCTGCCAATGTAGCATTTTAAAGACCTCAATAATCAGGTTTGTTCACAATTTCCATAGGAAATACACTGTTAAATTCATTCTTGGAGAAAATATGTACAGTATTGCCCTCATGGATGTTTATTCAAAAATAAGACAGAGTGCACTTGCATCCATGTTTATTCACAAGGAAAAGTGAATGATTAGCTTTAGGCATAAGAAAACTGTCATAGACAGGGGCTCTACTTCCATGCCTGCTACTATGGTACTGAGGCTTTGTGCCATCACAGCAGATAGTTAGGCTCTTGTACGGTAGTGAGTGCCCAGCAATGTGACTGATTATTAATATAGCCTCCTGAATGGATCTCAAATCCACTTGTTTATACCTGAGCCATATTCCGATATCAAATTCTACGCACTGGATTCTAATATGTGGTTTTCAAATGGAGCTCCCATCAACTTTCAGGAAAATGCACTGTCTTTCTAGCCTAATAGAGCCCGAATAACCCCAGGATAGCCTAAGGCTAAGCTGACAAAAAGTGCCAAATGCAAATAATACCACTTGGATCGTTCAAAATAAGGATCAGATCCAGCATGATTCCCCAACGAAAATTATAATCCTTAAGGGAGGAAGGCAAGCCCGGCCCAAACATCTCATCCTGCCCGCTTGCTCAGAATCTTTGACTTTTCACCAACGACAGTTTTCCTTTCGTTTCCATGGCCCTTCAGTCGGTCGGCCCCCAGTTGCCACGCCCACTTGCCAGTGCGCACGCGCAAACCTTCCCAAGCCGTAAGACGTAGAATCCTTAGATGCCTCTGTCGTCAGAGGCAAGATGGAGGCGTCCAGTGAGTGAAATGGTGCTGGCATTCCCGGGCTCTCAGTTTAACCCCGTTTCTGCCACGGTTTATCCGACGCCTCGGTGATTTATTCACCTTTCTCCTCCTCTCGGATGTTGCCCTTCGGTCGCGGCTTGCACCGCCTCGCGGTCCCGGCGGTCATCGGGTCGCGGTTGCAACGTGCGCGGAGCAGCGGAACCTCGGCAGAAGAGTCGGGCACTTCAAGATATGACGTCATTGTCATCGGTGGGGGCCATGCTGGCGTGGAGGCCGCTGCTGCGGCTGCCCGGGTGGGAGCCCAGACTTTGCTCATCACGCACAAAATAGACTCCATAGGTAAAGCCTCCCCTTTAAGCAGCATGAGCGTGTGAACATGGCCTGAATGCATTTGAACATAAGCTAGTCAACCACATTAGACTAGCAAAAAGAGAAAGTGTCTATGGAGATTCTCAGTCATCCAGGACCAGGTCATGATTGTCCCAAAGATGCTTTTTCAAGAGGCAACTGGATTTCCTGGTTTTTCTTTTGAAGACGTTTCGCTTCTCATCCAAGAAGAAACTATTAATTATAAGTATTATAATTATTTTGTCTCTGCATAATTTAAGGATATTGCGATCAATTTAAACCAAACTTCCAGGGAAGCTGTCTTAATACTTAAGACAGACTTTTTTTGTTTAAAAAAAAAATAGCTGAAGAAGAGCTGAAAAAGCTTCTTGGATGAGAAACGAAGCGACTCCAAAAGAAAAACAAAAAAGACATTGAAAAAGCACCTTTGGGACCCTAGGGTGCTTATCTCTGTTATCCCATCCATTATAGCTAGTTGGATTATTTGTATTGGGCATAGCCAAGTATGGTAATTGGATTAATTGTGTAAAGGATGGTCCAGTTAACAATTTAAGCATGTGAAGCATGTTGTGTGACTATGTTTTACTTTCAAACTTCTTTCCAACAGTGTTTGCTAAATATTTTTTCTTACATTTTAAATGTAGACTATTCTGCCATTCTTCCAATTGCCCAATAATGTAGAATGTTGTAATAAATGTTACAACGTGGTTTCCATAACACAACTGAAGGTGTATGGAATTGTTAACCTTTTTGCTGTATTCTAGCCATACTTTGTTAATAAATATATTGTTACTCGTGTCCTAATACTAAATTGCAAGGAAGTTGCTTTCCCAACCCATAGGAACTGTTTTTCTTGTCTGTCAGCCTTTACATCCATTTGTGTGTGTGTGTGTGTCTTTATATATACCTCTATATAAAAATTGAACCTTGTATTTGGTGCAGGACAAATGTCATGCAACCCTTCCTTTGGTGGAATTGGGAAAGGACATCTCATAAGAGAAGTGGATGCACTGGATGGGCTCT